ATTGTCCAAGAGCTTCTGTAACTTCGTCGAACTTGGAACCAATTTTAACCTTTACAGTGACTTTTCTGTCAAGCCAGTCCAATCGGAATTTATTCTTGACATTTGAGTCAGTTTTTAGGATTGAAGACTCCTGATCTTTCGTCAAAATTTTCATAATTCCGCTCAAAACGATCCCAGAACAATGAATTTGCGAGACGAACAGGCCGCCATGAATCAGGTAAAGCAATATGTTACATGCAATTTGATTGGTCCAATCGCTTGTAGTTAACCAATCGCTGGGCCGTTTATAATCGAGCTAAGACTTCCGCAACAAATAATGCCTTCAGTGATCTGATTAGTTGAAGCTTTCATACACGTCCAATCGCAGGGCTGTTTACAAACGGAAAACGGAGAGACTGTTCGGGAGAGCTCGTGAAAACTCGACGATAAGGTATCTGACCGCCCCTAATTTTTTCTCAACGGATTTAGACGATTCACAAAAATGATCAATTTAAGAAATAAAACGGCGGATTTCCGCGGATCCGCGGAAAATTGCCATGTATGATATATGTGTACATTAGAGAATATGAAAGAGAACAGCTAGGTCGTGATCTGTGCGTGCCTGAAAAAAAATTCCCGTTTCAGCCTTCAAGAACTCCCCTTCACCTTGAGAACACATGAAGCATGGTGAGAATATTCATTTATCTTATTTTATGAAGATTGAATTTATGTTTGCTTTAGTTGAAGTGATATTGTTGGCCAATATCTGAAGTTGCAGATTCATATTTCTTATTCTTGTGTATTTCACATTCATGCACTGATTTTTAAAACTGGATTAGAAATCGTGCACTTTCCCCCCGCCCCCCGCTCTTGCTCAATTCCTTATTTGGAGGACAACTTTCTACATTTGCTCGTGTCATATTATTTTAACCAGCAGTACTTTTCCTTTAGTAAAATTTGTCTACTCTAGCCACCTCTTGTCAACACGCTGCTTTACCTGTGCACAGATGATGAATGAGATGGAGAGGGCGAGGAGGAAGATGGTGGACACGATGACATCGACGGAGCGCTGCGGCCCTCGCCTCTGCAACAAATGAATGAGGAGATGGATGCGCTCAGACAAACAAGCAGCGGTTGTGATCTTGGAAAAGGTGAACGAATTCACACACCCTTAGGAAGGAGCGAAGGGACAGCCACATCTTGATGTTCTTCACCTTCTTCAGCCGGAAATGAGGGATCTCCGACTTCTTGGCTTTGCGAGCAGATGTCAGGTGGCTGAAGTGCTTGGCGAATAAAAGTCTCTGTGGAGGAGGAGATATGGACAGTCAATGGATTGAAATGTATTTTTTGTAATTTGTGTTTTAGAATGAGTTGTTGTTAGTTAGATGTTTGTTTTTTTTAATGTTCTATGCGGCACCACTCACCGAAGCAGGTATTCCGATCAATGTTGCTTTTATGGAATATGAATTAAGCTGTAAAATCCACCTGTTGTTATATCAGGGGGCGGCTATTTTGTTGTGTTCACTTGTTGACTGAAAATGACATCAAAATGCCAAAGGGCTCGGGTGATGACCAAACGCAGCTCAGCTTGCAAACATCACATGACTAAATACAGAAAACAGGCTGCATACACCATATGGCAAGGACATTTTTGACTTAAGTTGCCCTTGAAGAACCACTGGCCTCCACCATTTACAGTATCCCACTTAGGCTTAATAATTTCACGAAAAAATATCCACAGGTTAAAGAGAAATGAAGGCTGACAAAAGGATAATTTAAACAACACTGCCAGAGTTGCGCAGTCTTGGCTTGCAACAAGTTCATAGTCGGATTTCAATATTACAGGCAGAAATAAAGGGTGTCACAATCTAATTTTGCGTAAGGCCCCATGGAAGTGTGAGCTGGCTCTGGGCTCATTGGATGGCATCAGAGAAGGGAGCGCATCATCGTCTTTGCATCATCCTGCAAACAAAAAGCTCCTTGGTGGAGGTAACAATCCATTATCGCAACTCGCCTGCTTGTAGGTCCTCTCAGCCACGCACATCATGAAGAAGAAGAGCCCCGTGAGGCAAACCCTGAGCACGGTGGTGATGAAGAAGAAGGCGTAGGCGTGTGCGTTCGCCGGGTTAAAGGCAATCTCCAGGAGCTCGGCCGCCGACGATGAGCTGAGGTTGGACACGTCCAGATGCTGTACCAGGCGGAAGGCAAAGGGCAGGAGTGCCAGTGTGGCTGTCACTAGCCCGCCAAAGACCAGGTAGCCCACACCTTGCTCTGCAAGCTTCACCTTGAGGATAACAAGATGATGTTTACTGAAAAGTGCCTCATTTGTCAAATGTGTGCTTCACTCTGTAGGCTGAGAGACACATTCTTTGGGCTTCCTCATAAACCAATCATCAAACCCCAACAACAATCTCAATAATGATTTTTTTTTTGGTCTGTGATTCGAAGAAATGTGATTTAATTTGATTGACACATACATGTTTTGAGGCCGCGACTGTCACGGCTGCTTGAATATTACTCCGACCAGAATGATGGCTCAAATCTTCTGCGATTTCCAACATTAATTTCATGAATTCATTCATTCATTCATTTTCCGATCCGCTTTATCCTCACAAGGGTCGGGGGGGGTCCAATTTTAAAAGATATTTCAAATATGTTTCATTTATGAATTTTTTTTAAACATATTACTCTTTTCCCCAATGCATTTCAGTAGCCGTCAGTCATATGGAGATTTTCACTCCTCACGGGCCGAATAGCGGGCATCTACTGTGCTACGCATAATGCATCGTTTTTCATTTCTTTTTAAAAGCAACATATGGTGGCAGGCAAAATAGTAAAATGCTCTTCCTTTACCACCACACATAAAGTAATTATAAGATAAGAAAATATGGCTCAGAAGGGATCGAGCCTTTTCCGTTGCTGGTCCCTCTCTTTGGAATGAGCTCCCACTGAACATTCGGCAAGACCCCCCGCTGCCCATCTTTAAAACTCGCCTCAAAACTCATTTGTATTCTTTGGCATTTGACTCAGCATGACCCAGACTTGATCTTAGTTTTACTGTTTGGTGCTTTCTACTGTCTTTGTTATTGATTTATTGTTGTATATATGATAGTTGCTCCAAGTACACCAGTTTGTATACAGCGATGGCTGTTTTAAAGTGCTCTATAAATACAGTTGAATTGAGTTGAGTTATTCGTCTCATAATGGAGAAATTCCCAATTCACAGCAGCAAAAATCATGAAAGGGAGAAGTAGAAGAACAAAAAGTATGGTATATAAGTAAATATAAATTATAAAATATAACAGTATAAAATAAAAAATATAAAATTATAAAATATAATATAAGCATATTCATAATGGGTGAGTTCAAAAATACTTTTTGTGGCATTTTTGTTTGGTGGCGTGCCATGAGGTTTTCCGAAAGTAAAATACATGCCTTGGCTCAATACAGGTTCGAAAACACTGAATTAGCCCTCACAAGTCCATCAAATTCCGTAGGGTTTCAGTAAAGAATCTAGTAGCTACTGTACCCGAGAGAGAATGATCCCGCTGATCTCCAGCACGGACATGTCAGCTTTCTTACACTCTCCCTGCTCCCATATAATGGCGCTGACTCGGTCCCTGGAAGGATGGCATGCTTGGAGCCAGGACAGCTGGTGCTGTCGATATGACACATAGAGTTGTGAAAGACCATCATAATTCATCTACGAACGGTGTGCCGTGTTGGTTTTACCCCTGCAATGCCTTGCTGTAGACTCTCGTCATCGCTACTCAGCGTGGTGGTCTGCTGCAGTGCAAAGCCGCCTGCGAACCTCCCGTTGTCCTCACTGTCACTGCTCCCTGTGGAGGCGGTGTCGGGGTCCTGGAGGAGTTCCTCCCACATGGTGTCGTCTGTGTCGGATGCCGGCCGGGAGCCCACACTGAGTCGCAGACGCTCCACTTCCCGGGGCTTGGCCATGAAGGCCGCAGCTCCTTCCTGTTGTTACACACAGAGGGTGGAGCAGGGTAAACACAGCGAAAATCAGCCTAAAATTGAGCATTTTTCAAACCACCAGCAAAAGTCCAATTTTTTTTCAATACCCGTAAGATTTTCTTGAGCGATTATCTCAGGTGTATTAATACTGATTTTTACTTATAATAATAATAATAATACATTACATTTATAAGCGCCTTTCAAAACACTCAAGGACACTTTACACCAAGAGCAAATAATAAAACCACAGATAAAATTATAAACAAAGAATAGAAAGATTTAAGGTGGATATGCAAGTCTGAATAGGTGGGTTTTGAGCTGGGTTTTGAATGTGGAAAGAGAGTCAGTATTACGAATGTTGGGTGGAAGTGAGTTCCAGAGTTTGGGGGCAGAGCGGCTGAAGGCTCTGCACCCCATTGTACTGAGACGGGCAGAGGGAAGAGAAAGGTGGAGGGAGGATGAGGACCTGAGTGCGCGAGAGGGAATGGAAATTTGAAGAAGATCTGACAGATAGGGGGGGGCAAGGTTATGGATGGCTTTGAATGTATAGAGAAGTAATTTGAACTTCCCCAAACAGATTGGAAAACAGCGGTCTATGTCAAACCTGTTCAATATTTACAAGTGTGTAACAGTTTGGGCGCTTGTGTTTTTTGTGTCTGTAACTGGCAGCAGTTTTGTTCAGCGGAGATGTCGGCGCTGTTGGACAGTCTGCGTTGGTGTGGCTGGAAGGATGGCTGGCTGGTGGAGCTAAGGATGGCGAGAGAGGAGTGTCGGCGCAGAGCGCAGATGCGTATTTGGAGCTGAGAGTCAGCGCTTGAAATTGAAGCGGATTTACATGGGACGGCAGAAGTGAACCAATCTCCTTTTTCATCAATGGACGCTACGGCTTCTTGTTTACTTTCAATCTTAGCTTGTAGCAGACGGGTGCACATTGTGAGCATGATGTCTCTGATCCACTGATGAAAGGACACGTTGATTCGCTCCTCTTTCCGCTATATTTGCTTCAAACAACAAAGCGTATGCAGAAAGAGTGGTTTCGATTGCATGACCGTCCATGTCTTATGTGTTATTTTATGTTAACTGTTCTGTAAAGCTCTTTGTGAGAGCTGCAGCTGTTGTGAAAGCACTATATAAATAAAGATGTATTGTTTGGCCTTCATGTCTGAGCTCTGTTGACTTTGATGTCTGAAGTGGAACTGTAGTGCATAGCTCTAATAGTGAATGTCATTACAAATGGAACTAATCAAGTGCCTGCTGAGTGTATATTTAACATATATGGCCCATGGAAAAACATCCACCCATCCATTTTCTATGGCAATTATCTTTATAAGGGTCTTGGGCAGTGTTGCCACAGTTACCTTGTAAAAATAACTTACCGGTAAGTTACTTTATGAATTACTTGTTTTAAAAAGTTAATGGTTACATTCAGCAGAACCCCGCTGAACATAAAAATGACACCTGGGTTTGCCACTTCTTTGCAAGTGCATTTTTAACAGTGACATAGAAGAATAGAGAATGAATAAAATAAAGGCAACCTTTTTGACATATAATTATTTTAGTTTTAAAAGAAAATGTCTCTTTAATGGATTTAAATCAACGTAAATGGGCTACTTGTTTTTAATTAAAACAATAGCCTTTCAATACTTCACAAAAATAAAATTTAAAATGAAGTCTTTTTTACTTGCTATTATAAAGGCAAAACTCAACATTTATAATGTACATTGTTTATAAAAATAACTTTGGGGTCCTCCTGCACTCACACAATCTGGTGTGACTTTACCTTTAAGATTGAAAACGCAAATCTCTCTCTTTCCTCTATTGCTGTTTATGAACACATGACTTGTCAGTGCGCTAAAAATGATGTCAGTCCCTCAGACGGTAATGTGAATTTGGAAATTCTCACGCCTTTCACTGTGTTCAAGCTGGAAATACCAGTATCCCTTCCTTACGTGTTCTATAATGCGCAGTTATTTGTTTTGTGACCTTATATATAATTTTAGGAATCAAGTGTTTTTCTATGTTTTATTATTCTTCATATGTGTGTGAGAGACACCATATGTGAGTGCACTGCTTACTTGACTCTTGTCAATTCTTTCTCACCGTTGCTCCTAGCAGGCCGTGAATTCCAACTGTTTGGTGAGTAAATGGGCAGCGCTTTGAAAATTCACACCAAATGCATGTAAGAGTGAATATGTTCATCGATGTAATTTACTGCAGTATTTAAAAGGTAACTTGTAGTTCGACTACTTGACATATAAAAGTAACACGAATATTAGTTACTACTGGCAGCACTGGTCTTGGGTGAGCTGGGTACTAGACCAGGTGACTATGGACAGGAGAAGCAGGATCTGCCCAGCCTGGTCACCAACCAGTGGCTGGGAACAGACTGTACACCAAACAGTCAAACTTGCACCTATGGGCGGTTTAGTCTTCAGTGGAAAAAAACTGAACAACACACTATGTGAGCTTTTTAATTTTTTTCCTCCTGTGAAAAACATTGTTTTTGTTGTGGATGGATTTTTCCACAGTGAAGACTTTGATATGAATAAAATTGTGCAGGGACAAGAAGTTTCACCTGAGGCCTGACTGCAGCTTTGCTGCTGGAATTTCTGGAGCGCACAGAAGATGGCGGTGCAGATGGCAGCCAGGGACCGGAGGGAATCACATCCACCGGTTGCACGCCCTCTTCTTCCTCACTCGAGAGCTCGTCCGACGCGCCGAAGCCAGAATTTCTTTTGCTCTGTGGCAATATGGCAAACACCAGAATTTGAGCAGTGTCTCTTTTCAAAGTAGAATTCACTTAATTAAAAATACAAAAAATATCCATGCTATAACTATTCCAATCCAAAACAGCATATGCCATTGGTTCTATTTGATCTTGATTCAACACTCCATTTACTGACCATATCAATTCATATATCTTAATATTCTTGCTTATGTGTTAATATATTGTATTACATTAATGGTCCCCCCCCAAAGGCACAGATAAAAATCCAGTCTTTTTTTTCCTGTCAAAATGGTGCAACCTCAGTCGTGGAATAAAATCAGAAACACAAATTGACTTCCAAATTTCTCTGACTTGAAAATGTTTTTCCCATCGGAAATAAAAGATTAATACTTTTAGTTTAGCTGGACAGGCAATGTTTTAAGTAAAGCTTTAACAGTCTTAACTGTCATACAAGGATAAATAGTCACCCTTTGAAGAGATCTGACATCTTTTACATGTTTAATGTGTAACGCGGGAATGACTAAAGCCTTAATTTGTGATAATCAATGCAATGCAGTCAGTTCCATTCGTAGTTGTTAGGTTTTTAAGGTAATAGATGTTATGGATACACATACACTGTATATGTAAGGCAACTGAGTATGACAGGCCTGCTTGTAGAGTGCTATCAGAAAATGCGTGACAATTTTTTGTTGCCCTTTTTTTTTGGGGGGGTGGGGGAGGATGGAACATTTGTAACCTATCTGGTGTATTTCACCCTTTCCGCCCCAGTTCTCTCCACTGAGTTTGACTGAAGTTGGTACCATTCTCTTTGGTCGCTGGACTTCCTCAAACTGCGATGAGACTTGCAGCTCCTTCTCCTCGCTCTCATTCTTCTCATCCAACTTCTTTGGGCACCTGCTCTTCCTGGGCCTGACCAAGACAGGAAAGAAACCAACTGGCTACTTTACTAAACAGAACCCTGCTTGGGTCAAGGCTCTTATCTCACCTCCTCCTACGGGCCGGAATGCTGCCATTGTTGATGTTGCTGGTGGCAGGACCACCCGAGGGCGAGCGGCTGCACTCGGTAGACACAATCTGGCAGTGCACGGTCCCCAGGAGCAGCATGAGACATAAGGGCCCGAACGCCTCACTGGCACTTGCTCCAGGGACTTCCACATAGAGTGCCACGGCGGCCACTAGAGAGGGAGAATGATATTGAAATGGTCTCATGGGTAAAGGGCATAATAACAACATGTCGGTCTTCCTGTGGCGCTCAGGTGTGAGGCTTAATTGCTGTAAATACACTCAGTGGAGGCAACATTAAGCACACCTGGACAATCAAATGAGAATGAATACAAAAACCATAGCGAAAATTCTGCTAGATTTAACTTTATACATTTGCTTTAACATCATTTGTTCTTCCTCAAACCCGTAGTTTTGATGTAAATGTTTTGCATAAGTAATGGAAATAAATTCTATGGTGATGACGATGATGATGATTATTATTATTAAATAAATCTGCCCTAAACACTCCAAATTGTCCCTAGGTGTGATTGTGAGCGTTAATGGTTGTTTCACATTGTTGGTCTTGGTGGTTCATGGGTGGCTGGAACAGATTCACAGCGTTTCCATCCATTTCAATTGGATACAAAAGCCATTGGCCCCGCATTAAACTGTCAGGCCCAATTTCAACACAGAGGAGGGGGAGAGAACTGTGTAGACGCACAAACTGCTGCTATCACTCTTAAACAGAGATGAAAGTGGACTTTCCTGAAAATTCCCGAAAATACAAATGCGAGCACCGAAGGTGCGAAGTCCTGCAAGGGGGATCCGGGGGCAACTGACTTACCAGGTTTGTCGACCTTTCTAATGTAGTCGAACAAAAAAAAAAAAATCTCCGTTCAAGTCCTTTTCCTCAAGCCATGACCACTAGAACGTGTTCCTAACACTCGCGTCGATTTCACGTATGTCAGCTTGCCTATCTACCTGTTTGAACATTGCGCTGGGGCCGTAACTGGCCGATCACGCATGAATTAGTTTACACAAAACGCTATTCAAATACTTGAATTTCAATGATGAATCTGCCTTTTGTGTGCACACGTGGAACCTTTGTGGCTTCCGTTCTCACTGAAATTTCGAAATCTCCGAGATATGGAGAGGCCATGAGAATGCGAGGGGAGGGGTGTTAGTGCCTCAACATGGCTACACTCGTGAAAGCAAAACAACGATCTCAAACGCGTGTTCGTTCAATGTAGTCAACTAATATCCGGAATAATTTTAGGCACTTTTTCCTCAATTTTCCGGAGGAATTGTTCTGAAAATTTGAAAATCCAGAATTCCGGGAAAATCCTGAGGACTTTCATCACTAATTAAAACACCAGTCCTGAAAGAACATATCGTGTCATTTTTGACAGCAAGGTTTCGTGGTAGTATTCTAATGCGGTGTACTATGTAACCCTATCCTGTACATCAAGAGGAAAACAAAGATTATCTGTTACATTTATCATCGGTGTGGGATGTAGCCAACCTTGCATAAAGTAGAGTAGCAGAATGCATGAGGAGATGGTCTTGGAGGTGACCTGGATCCACCATGGGAAGAAGAAAGGAAGCAGCAGCACACGGACCAAACCCTTGCGAGTCAATGCCGTCCAGGGACTCTGTGGTTTCGCTTTGCTGAATGTGGACCCTAGAAAGGACGAAGCAATGATGGCTCCGAATGTGACAATTTGGCATTTGGACTCTAACCTCGGACCAAGTCAACATCGATGAGGTCTGACTTGATGTGGCCGGTCTTTCTGGGTTTACTGTCCAAATCCTAGTGGTGAGACGACTTGAATTTAAGAAAACACGACAATCTTCTTTTGCACATTTTCTCCTCAGCTTACATTTAAATCTGTCTGCTCCAAAGACTTCTCCCAGACTTGTTGATCATAGGCTCCAATCTGTGGCATGAACAATATTTGATTAACGAGGATAATCACCAGTTATTCTAACTTTACCATGGCCACTGTGCGCTCCCGGGCGATAAATAGCCACTTTTATACGTACACCTACCCACCTTCTCTTGATACCAGGATATTCTGGCCATTGTGTTTTGTTGCTGGAAGCACTGATCCAGAGTCAGCTCATTTCATAGAGAACACAGGCGAGCTGAGGGCAGGAAAACACTACTAAACAAATAGGAGAGGTGACGATGAACTCACCGAACTTGAACAAAACATTTTATTAAGCAATGTAGCAGAATGTGTGGCTATAATGTTAATAAAGCTCGGCAACAGGTAACCCGGAAGACATTTTTGTACTCATGCCGTGTCGGCTATTTAGTAAAGTAGCAATACTTACCTGATCATAACGGCAGAGTTGGCACATTTTTGGAAGACCCTAGGTAATCATTACAGGATAGATTGTTATTGCTCTTTGGTTTTTAATAGTTATTCAGACATTTCCATCTTTCCAGTGCTCCAGGGTTGTACTGAAAGGTATTTGGACTTGCCTTTAACGCCCTGCACATGAACGATGACCAAAATAATGTAATTAAAAAGCGTACCCATTTTAGAAAAGAGCCATAATCGACTAATTTTCTACCTTCCGTACCGTCCTTCTCCTTTCACAACAATGCTAATCTTTCGCTCTCCTTTTCCGGGATTGTGTTGCCTGTACTTTTTCCTGAAGTTTGTTTTTAAGGCAAAAGTGGTGATCGACCAAACTACCCCCGAAAACCACAGCGGATATGTCGTTCATAAAATAAACAAAATAACTTATTCGTGAAATATAAGAACCAAAATACATTTTTGTGTTTAATTTGACACGGTTATTGAAATCACGAAGTTTGGGGCGGGAGGCATTTATTTCCTGTCAGATGCAAGAGAACTTCTGACCTCTTTTGACCAATCAGAAAAAAGCATGAAACAACACGATTACATCTGCTTTAAATGCCGTCCTCGGTTTACGACTGCCCCGACATGCGGCATTTCGAATTTTCTGCATGTTTGATGTTTTACATTTAATTATCAAAAAAGAGAATATCATTTGTGGCATGTATGAGCAGCAAGAACCCTTTTTCTTGGGGGGTATCAATTACTTTTGGATTTGCCTTTTTGCGAAAGGGCTCTGTCTCTCATGTACTGAACAGCATAGATCAACAAATTGCTATTTCTGCTTCTATCGTTACTTTTAGGACAACCTCTGGGGGCTTAGTGTTTAACTCGTACACCTTACAGTTTGCACCTTACAGTTTGGATGTTCAGAATAGAATCTCGACTACGGCCTTCCTTTTGTGGAGTTTGCATCTTCACCTTGTGAGTTCTTCCACTTTAGCAAAACATGTTTCTCGTGAGATGACTAAATTGTCCACTAGTGTGAATGATTGTTTTTCTTAATGTGCCCTGCGATTGACTGGCAACCAGTCCAGTGTGTATTCAGCTTCTTTTGCACAAAGTTCGCTGGGATAGGCTCCAGCTCACCCCCGATGAAATAAGGACACGTTTGGATTGGTGGCTGATGTCCTGCCTTTGGTTTACAATTGCATCTTAGCACATTTTAAAATTGTGGAAAACTTGTTGAATTAAAAAAAGTGACACCCGTATAATATACAGATTCACCAGACAAAGAGAAAAGTATTTCTTTGTTTTATTTCATGTAATTTTGATGATTATGGCTCACAGATAATGAAAACTCAAAATTAATCATTTGAATATGAAATCACAGAAATGAGAATATTACGTTAAAATCAAAATTATTTTTAGTCTGGAAATTGTGTCGGAATTGGGCTTCTGAAAATATGTGATGTTTCACTTTTTGACTTAAACTATTGAAATACATAAGCTTTTCTGCCCGATCATAATGTATTGAGATGCACCTACATATAACTCAGTCCCCAATGTTGCCCCTGACAAGAGGATGAGTATCTTGGTGTTGTGCACATCAATCTCAAATTCTCTCATGACAATTCCTACAAGAGTTACATTTGTCAAGACAGCGGAACCGAACAGCGTTGTCACACTTGTTGTTGACTGCATCCGTATGTACTCATTTCCCCTCTCACATCCTGTTTCTGATGCAAAGCAGCAAAACAATTAGCTGGATAACTACACATGTTGCAACCCATTGGGCACACAGGGACAACCTGTTGTTGTTATTCATTTCAATTTAAAGGTTGTCATTGATTCAATTATTGTTTCATGTTCGCAGGTTATTGCATGTTTGCTCTGTTGATCATTTGTAAAGAAATTCCTTTCTCTGGGGAGGCTTGTGTTTTTCACGGATGTGCATGTGTGTTTTACATGTTTGACCTCATTAAAATGGCAAGTTCAAGCACGTTCTTCTTTACCTTGGGTAAGCAATATGGCCCATGAGAACATTTAATCTTCCCCGCAATGCAATTTTCAAAACAAATAAAACATCAGAGGAACTGTTATTACTGTTCTTAAAAAAAAACACATACATTTAAGCCACAAAAATGCTTGTGATGTATATTGGTGTTTTTTTTCACCACTGGTTGCATCATATTTCTATCATATATTTAGTATAGTCCTCAACGGCCTTTCTTTAAAAAAAAAAACAACAAACGTTATTTGTCAATCGTTAGAATGTTTTTAACACCAAATAACATTTGCAATTTATTTTATCTTTGTCTTTCATCTTGCTACTCAAATCATATCATATGTTTTTGTCTTGCCCTTTTACAGTAAATACACTGGACAAGGACATTATTAGTCACTGTGCGCTGTATCTCCGAACCTTGCTGCTCTAGTAGTCATTTAAACTCATTTGTACTTTATATTTAAGAGTACTAGTAGGTGTAAATGTAGAGGGAGAGGAGATTGAATCCTTGAGGGTGATTGTTGACAATAAAATCTGGAAACTTGCATTAAATAGATCAAAACTCTCAAAAAGCATTTCTATCCTGGCTACGACAAAACAATTTCTCAACCAGAAATCTTTGCACATTCTGTAACTGCTCGCTAGTGTAACTATATTTAAACTTCAGAAGTTTGGGGTAACATCTATTCAATCTCATTAAAGCCTATTATTTTATTTTATTTTTTTGTGCAAAATAAAGCAACAAGTGCTGTCCATAATGTTGGAAATCTGCACCAAACAAATGGCTTGTTTCAACCTTCTAAAATTAAAAAAATGGTTTGAGCTTGTGGAATGAAAAACTGTACTATAAGTAAACTTTCTTTACATAAATATAAACTTTTTTTTTTTTTTTGCAATGTACAGATGGAAATGAGATTTTTAATGCTGATTTATAACTAGCTGTTTAGTCTGAGGTCTCACTGATTCAGCATCAATGTGAACACTGATGTCTTCATGGGTGGGTGCCGAGCTTGATTGACAAGTATGGGGTCAAATTCGACATTTGCCATGGCAAACCGATGCTGAAAAACGAGTTCATGCTTTTGTGGCTTTCAAGCCGGTCCAGTTCTGCTGCACTAGCCTCATAACGATGAACAGTACTGTATACTGTATTCCATTTAAAATAATTCATGCACAACATACCGGCATAAAGAGCCCATCGTGTCTAATCAACCCACTGAGGCCAATTTTAAGTGTAAAGTGTACTGTTCATTTGTGCTTTGTTTTGTTTAAAATGTAAGAAGTGTCTTCTAGATGAACATGACACAAGTGTTCAATGTAATCTTAAAATCTTGAAAGTCTTACAAGAAGAAATATTTTCCACTTTTATTGCTAAGATATTTTGACAATCATATCCTCAATCATATGTGAAACTGTGGATCTTTTGCAGCATTCAAAAGCATCCTTCCAGCATAACCTTGAACGTTCTATTAATTGTAAATAAGCCTTTATTGGAAACGTAACCCGTGATCTGGTTTTCTGTGTGCTGTGCAACACAAAATAAAAAGCAGAGTGTGAGTTTGAATTCACCCATGAGGGACTATAATGAGGATCATAAATGAGATTTATTTCTTTATTCTAAATTAATCTACTTCACAAACTAGTCAGGCTTGGCTCAAGCGGGCCTGAAACATCCCTTAAGTTATGCTTCTAAAAGTCTACACTGACAGAAGATTTTTTTGGGAAGCCACAAAGGCTATTATGTGGAAATGTGATAATGTTGTCGGGTCTCCCTGAGTGGCCTCTTATCACAACACAAGCAATTAACTTCAGAAACATGACAGTTGCAGTTTTACTGCAATTTATTTGCAGGTACAGTGTCAAAAGACTTTTAGGATGATGAAAATACCTACTGATCTAGTAAAAATGAAGTCCGCTTAAACCGACACTTCTGACGATGGTAGTTTCCATTAAGCGACAACAAGGTCTCAGGTTTATTTATTTATTTTTTATTTCGGACATCCAATCTTGGATATATAGTACATCTCTGATGAGGTGGTTTTCATTCAGCAAACAACAATTTTAAGGTTGATTTTTCAGAGAACTTCATAGTGACACGAACTTTCTGGATGAATTTACATTTTACACTTTTTATATTGACTACTCAGTTAAAGGCAGTATGTATCTGAAAAAAACATATCATATACATTAAAAAAAAAAAACGGACTCAAAGACATTTTGGAATGGGAAACAGCTAGAGTTCAGCAGAGCTTGTTGGCAGAAGGTCTCGGGGAACGATTTTGTGAAAGAATGTCAAAAAATAGGAAGTCATTTTGACTCCTGAGTGTCCATCGATGCTGGCTGATCCTGCTCGGCCACACACACGATTCTGGCCTTGACCTTCTTGTTGGAGGAAATGATGAAGTATGGGCTGAGGAACGCGTAGCAGGAGGAACAGAACACCCTCATGTCCGCCACCACGGGGGACACCTTGGCCTGGGTCAGCATGTAGATCCAGATCACGTTATCGATGCCGAAGAAGAAGACGTACAGGACCACCAGGGTGACCACCGTTTTGGCTGCTCTGGTCTCGGCCGGATGGGATCGACGGACGCCTCTCACCTGGTGGCTGTGACGGTGGAGAAGTAGCAGGATATAACCACTGGAGACCAACATCAAGGCCACAACGGAGAAATCCCTTCCAGAAACAATAACCCCTTGGAGGATGTACAGCATGTTGTTTCTGAAGTCCATGAGGCAGAAGCCCAGGTTGAGTGTGAAAACAGGGATGGTGCTATTACGTGGAGCCGTGGAAAAGAGAAGGGCTGGAAAGTATATCACCATGTTGAGGAACCAGAGCCCAGCGAAGGTGGGGAGGACCACGGCTGGAAGGGAAGACTTTAGTCTGGACAGGCATGGTCCGGGGGGTGCGATGGTGACCGCCTGAAACACGCTGAGCATGCAGGTGATGCAGATTGACAACGCTCGGCCGACGCGGTAGCCGTAAATCACCATCTTGCAGCCTGGGTCGTCCAGCAAGTTGGTGAGCCCGAACACTGTCATGGTCTGGGGCACGCAGCGGATCATCAGGATCATCAGGTTGGCCAGGGCCAGGTGGCACAGGATCATGTCCACGGGAAGGAGTTTGCGTTCGGTGTAGACGATGTTGGCGTAGGCCAGCTGCACAATGGTGTTCCCCAGGATGCCGATTCCTGTTTGCAAAAGGAAGGAGACACCTCTGATGGTAACGCACAGATCCATGCCACCGAGACCTGGACCATTTGGTTGCACAAAGCAGACAGAGAAGAACACCTGTTAGAAATGCACCACACAAGAATTTTTCTGTTGCCCCTCAAAATAATCTACCACCTCCAAAAACGTTCTCACCAGATCAAGGGTATGGCAGCCAAGTTGCGCATTGTGACTGTTAAATGCCTGTAAGACAACATTTATAGCCTTCAATGTCCTTGGAGAGTTACTGTGCCTGGAGTTTTGGCAAAAACAAAACACCGCACACGCACACCTACACACAGAAGAAAAACAATTGGAATCAAGTCGTCTCAAAGGTACATGTGGCTAAAGGAATACTTTTCTCAGATTGTTTTTCATCCCAATTTCTCTGGTTGTGATCTGTATGATCTATTCCGATCTGGTAAATGTGCTATCACGTTTAAATTGAAATCAAGGACATTTCTTCTCATGCACGCAGCAAAAAACATTGTTCACTATGCAATGAAATTCTTTTGCTAGCTTGTGTCCCTGCAGGAAAGTATAGTGAACTACAGTACACTTAAAAAACAAAAGACGACACAGTGCATTTCAACAGTTGCATCTGCGGAGTTTATGGATTATTAAAAATTCTTATGGTGTGTGGAAAAAAAAACAGTTTGTGAGCAACATTATTGTATTGGCCCGAATATAAGACGGTGTTTTTTTTGCATTGAAATAAGACTGAAAAAGTGGGGGTCGTCTTATATTCGGGGTCTAGATATTATACCCATTCACGACGCTAGATAGAGCCAGATATCATTGAAGCGAATGCTGAACTTGACTCCCCAGGCCAAAGTGAACCCCTGCCACGAAGGATAAAAATAAAAATAGGGGTAGCACGAAGAAAAAAAATAAAAAATAGCGGTAAGAAGGAAAAGAGAAGAAAATAATAGAAGAGATAACAGAAAATGGAGAAACGTAGTGACAATCTGGAGAAAAGTGGGTCGAAGATCGGCCAGGTTAACCGGCAGCTGAGGAGAAGTTATGATGTAATTTACATTTCAAAAACCAGAAGCCATTCATTTACGAATGTGATTGCACTTTAGATTTGAATGTGGCAAAATAACATGCTTTTTCTCTCAAATATATTGTTATAATCATTTGTTTCAGGTGTACTGTAATTATTTTCTGTATAAAAATTAATTTGGTGTTCAAAAAGTCTTTTTTCAAACTTGAGTCTTGAAAAAGAGGGGGTCATCTTATAATCAGGGCCGTCTTATATTCGGGCCAATACGGTGTTTGTGACCTGATGCTCTGGTACCGCATCCATGAGGAGAGTCATGTAAACAGAGAATTTTGAGGATGTATCTGGTCCTTAATAATATTCTGGGCCCTTCTCATGACTCGACTGTTGTAAATGTCTTCTATCGAAATTGCTCAAGACATTTATTTTCATCATGAATTTCTTGAGCTTTCTTAGAAAGTAGACTGTTGCGTGGGCCTTCTTGCTGAGTTGAGTTGTGTTCTGTGACCAGATCAGGACCTCACTGATATGGATGCCAAGGAATATAAACATCGTGACTCACTCTACCTCTGTCCCTCAAATGTAGACTGGTGTACTGCACAGCTCTCCTCCTCTGGTCAATAACTATCTCCTTGGTCCTATTTGTGTTCAGGCGGAGATTGTTTTCCTCACACCTGGCCTAAAGTGAAGCAACTTCTGCCCTCTGTTTCATCTCCACCAGTAATCAACCCATGGATGTTGCTCATCCCAGGAAGAGGAGTTTCTCACTCAGTTTTTTTTTTTTTTTTAGGAACAAGAGTGTTGAAACCAGACGAATAATCAATAAACAGCATTCGCAAATATGGGCCCCGCCCCTCCAAGTGTGTGAGGAAGGTTTGGATAGCAGCATTTACGGCACATGTGTCAAACTCAAGGCCCGGAGCCCAAATCTGGCTCGCCACATCATTTTATGTGGCCTCCGAAAGCAGATCAAACATGTCAAATTCCGTGATGCTTTCTGAAATGTCGACAAAAAATTAAAATTCTCATATGTAATCAATAAGAGAGATATTCTAAGCATTTCCTTGTTACCAAACCCCTCATGATAGTAACTTAAACAAGAGTAGAATCAACTGTTATTCTTGACTTCTTTAGATGGTTTCAGTCATAACTGCCCTCCAAGGGAAACGGTAACTAAAATGTGGCCCGCGACAAAAACGACTTTGACATCCCTGATTTACAGCATCGTCAGTGGAGCTGTGGTAAGCCCTAAAGCCTCTCTATATTTTCTCTTGGCCTGCGTGATGGATCTACACACATCTTTTTCTTTGATAGTTCCTTCCAAATACAAATGTGGAAGAGAGAGTTTGTATCATGGCTCCAAATTCATCCATGATTTGTCATTTGAGGAACTCTTCAACGTTTTGTCCGAATAATGTTCACAGTAGAAGTACTTATGTACCCAGTGATAGCTGCAGAATACTCTTCAAGATCAACTGAAGTCTTCTCTCATGTGCAGCAGATATAAATACATCCCAGTCCATTCAACCAAAGCAGTCCTGAAGAATTTGCAAAGATTCCTCAGTAAGTACTCAGAGGGTTTTCCAGTCGAACCCTGTTACAACGTGCCCCAAAAATATCACAAAACCATTCGCCTTTCCATGGCTGATTTTAGAGAGAAAGAATTGTGCAGCTTAGGTGCAGTTTCTGTCACGTCTGTCTGGTTTCTTTCATAAGTCTCCAAGATACTCAGTCACAATGGATTCCAAGAGACTTCGTTTGCTGAATTGTTCATAGGCCATGGCATATCAAACTTGTAAAGGTAAAGAATCAAACAGCAAATCTCATTGGCCTTGAATCAGCCATCGAGGAGGCTTTCACATCCTTTGTTGTCCTGTAAGTGACGCACAGCAGCAAGGCAATTAGCGTGATAATTCATGTCACAACCCACTGAGGGGGACAGCCTGTTATTGTTATTCATTTAAACCTCTTGCTAAAGCACAATCACGCTTAACACTATGAGGTAATTATGTTCCCTTTGCTGATCATTTGTAATGTTTTTTGTTTATAGGGAGCTTCTTTTCTCAAGAGAGAAGGGTGTGTTATTTTCTATGTTTACGCGTTCTGAGACCTCATTAAAATGGCAAGTTCAAGCACATCCTTCTCGGTGGATTGCATCATGTGGTCAAGTGCAACAACGAAAATCAAGGCTTGCTGATTGATATAAACATGTTTTAATGATGCTAAATTATTGTTCATGAATGCTAAAATGTAACGCGGGCACAACCACCCATGTTTAACCAAACACTAGATTATTACTATTTACACAATCAAATGAGATATAACACAATAAATGTATCAAAACATTTGGTCTTTACAAATAGGATTAAGAAAATCTTAATGAAGCCTTTAAACACTATTTTTATTTTTGTGGTTGCAGTTTGCAGGGGTGTAGAACTGCACTGCATCACGCTTAGAGCTGTTTTGTAATATTTTGGTTACATCGATTTACATAACGCTAACATCATTATTATCATATATATATATATATATATATATATATATATATTATCCCAATGTTGATTTTTGTCTTCTTCAACTTTACTCTCTTTCCAGGGCAACCTTATTCTCATTCTTGTGTGTTTCAGGGTGGGCCTTCTACAAGCTGCCTGCAGATTCAAAGAATCCCCATACAAGACTTTTTTGGACCCCATGATCACATTTGACACAAATACTGGTAAATGGTGCATTCTCAACTTTTGAAGTGCAATTTTGGTTTTTGCAAAGGTGCCTGTGCTCTATGTGTACATACTGTATGCAAAAACCTAGCAGAGAAAAACAATCATTATATCACTGTAGCCACTGCGAAGCATCAAGGTGGATTGGCTATAGCTTGGGGCTGCTTTGCTACTCCCGGCACAGGGTGTCTTGAATCTTTGCAGGGTACAATGAAATTTGAAGACTATCAAGGGATTCTGGAGAGAAATGTGTTGCACACTTTAAATCCGAGAGCTGCTTGCTTACAAGTCTGGCATAGTTGGCATGGTTGGGCATGCACTCAGCATCATCATCAACAAATATGCTGCGACAGTGACGGTGCGATACCTCTGAGGGGACAGAAGCAGTCATCTGGATTGATCTCAAGTAATTGCAGTCAAGTGCAATACATTTCAATGCGGCAAACAGGAGTGCATACGCTCAACCTCCATGCAGCTATAAGAGGACAAGCAGAGAGAGGGTGGGCCATACCGGGGTCCACGTCGGACCTTCTCGTCACTGCTGGCTCAGACGGGTACGTTAGGTGAGTGGGCGATTATGACTCTAGGTTGAAAAAATTCTATTTTCAAAAACCTTAATATCTAAAAAAAATAAACAGTTTAATGAATCAATTTACAATTTGCATTTAATATATAATCATTCTTTATTCTTGCAAAAGTGTTACTTTAATCTTGAAAATTATACAACTTCAGTCTAATATGATGATTTTTAAATTTAAAAACTCTTTAAGTTAATTCTGAGAATATACGACTTCTTCCATCCATCCATCTGCCCATTTTCTAATCCTATTCATCACCTCCCAAGGGTCGCTGGCACGCTGGAGCCTATCCCTGCTTTCTGGAGGGAGTACACCCAGAACTGGTGAACCGCAAATCGTAGACAAACAACCATTTCCGCTTACAATCTCACCTTGGGACAATTTAGATTTTAGAGTGTTCCATTAACCTGCCATGCATGTTTTTGGAATGTGGGAGGAAGCCGCAGTAACCGGAGAAAATCCACGCAGGTACAGGGAGAACATGCAAACTCCACACAGGAAGACCGGAGCCGTAATCGAACCCTGCACCTCTGCACTGTCAGGCCAACACGCTAACCAATCGACTTCATGCTCATAAGAATATGACTAACCAAAAAACAATCTTGAAATGCCTTAAACTACGCCTCTTTTTTTCATTGAAAATAGGATTTTTCTCTTACAATTATAATTTTAATCTTAGAAATAGGCTTAGTTTCTCAAATTTTCAACTTTGTTCTATTAATAACAACAATATTTTAAAACTATCAAAAATATTGCTTTATTGTTTCAACTTTAATACAAACAGTATGACTGTATTCTTGTCAGATTATGTCTTGAAAAAGTTTATATTTTTTTTATCATTGCAATATGCAACTTTATTGTAATATTGCAGATTTAATCGAAACAAAATCTACAAAATACGATTTTATTGTTGTAATGTTACAACTTGCGTTGAAACTGTTAAACTATCAGGAACATAAACACCTTTTTTTCTAAAAAGTATACGTTTCTGCTGAAATAGAGCATTGAACTTTTTCTCATGATGTTACAACTTTAAAGGCGAGAATATCCAGCTGACGTAAAAGTCTCTAAAATACAGTATACAACTGGATTCCCGGCGGACGAGTGGTTAGTGTGTCGACCTCACAGTGCAGAGGTTCAATTTCAACTCCCGCCTCCCCGTGCCTGCGTGGGTTTTCTCCGGTTTCTTCCCACATTCCAAAAACATGCATGGCAGGTTAATGGAACACTCTAAACTGTCCCTAGGTGTGAGTGTGAGCGTGGATTGTTGTTTGTCTCTGTGTGCCCTGTGAGTGGCTGGCAACTGGTTCGGGGTGTCCCTCGCCTACTGCCCAAAGACAGCAGGGATAGGCTCCAGCATGCCTTGCGGCCCTTGTCAAGATAAGCGCATCAGAAAATGGATGGATGGATGGAACTGAAAAATGTTTGACTTGGTTCTCGAACAAATCTTGAAAAGATACTGTACAACTTTTTGCAAATATAGCGTTTAAAACAAAAATCTCAACAAATACTTTCAGCCAAAATAGGACAAACAGAAAATGGATGGATACTTTTTTTTTTCTCCAAAACTATATGCTTATAATGCACCATATTATTATTGGAATATTCTGACTTTTCAGGGGGAAAAATGTCAACTTTATCTTGAAGTTATATGACTTTTTCCTCAAAATTAAGCATTTTTTTCTGATAATATGGGACTTTATTTTCATCCTATTACTTGAATCTTGAAAATATACATTCTTTTTTCTCTGCCAAAGGTAAACCAAAAAACAAAAAATGTATTACTTTTTATGTGGAAAATATGACTTCCATATGTTTTCCTCAAAACGTGTCTTTATTCTTGTATTACTCTGACTTTCGTTTCTAAAATAACGTTTTTTTACTCAAAAATATTGTTTATATTTTTGAAAAATCTTTGTGCAAAAATACACACGTACTTATTCTTGCAACATTTCAACGTTAATCTCCACAATAAAAATATTGTGATCTTGAAAATACTGTACATATATTTAATGATTCTCAAAACTATCCAACTTTATGGTGTGTGGCCAAACCGCAGTTTTGCGAAAGAATGGTGTCTGAGGAATTGGTCCGTGGGATGCTGTACCTGTCCCTGAGCGTGGTGGGTGTACCTGGCAACCTGGTGGTGATCCTGGGCTTCCTGGTGGCACTCTACCAGGATAAGCGTCTGCTGGCAGCCGACACCATTGTGCTTCACCTGGCATTCGTCAACCTGATGGTGGTGGCGGTGCGATGCCTGCCGGAGACTCTGGCGTCCTTCCGCCTCACTGCTGTCTTCGACGACGCTGGCTGCAAAGGCATTATCTTCATCTACCGGACGTCGCGCTCCCTCTCCATCTGGCTCACCTTTGTCCTGAGCGCCTATCAGTCTCTGAGCGTCGCCCTCCCCGGCTCACGCTGGGCCGCCGTCCGTACCTGGCTAGCTCACCACTTGGGCCTGGTGTTCCTTGTCCTCTGGCTGCTCAACACGTGCATGAGCTCGGCTGCCATTCTCTTCTCCTTCGGGGCCAGGAACACGTCAGCCACAATCAGCCACGGTGTCAATGTGCAGTTTTGCTTTGTCAATTTCCCCTCCAAGCTCTCCAAGGAGGCCAATGGGGCAGCCCAGGTGAGCAGAGACGTGGTGCCCATGGCCCTCATGGCCCTTGCCAGCCTCATCATTCTGTTCTTCCTCTACAAGCATAGCCGGCAGGTGAAGGTCCGACGTGGCGGCAGAGGATCGGAGCGGAGGGCGGCCAAAGCCGTGGTGGCCCTCGTGACCTTGTACGTGGTCCTCTACGGGGTGGACAATGGGCTTTGGGTTTACACGCTCACTTTGAGTAAGACCATGAGCAACTCGCTGGTGTCGGACCTGCGCATATTCTTCTCGTCACTCTACGCCGCACTGAGCCCGCTTGTTGTCATTGCGTCCAACAGGAAGCTGAACGGGAGGCTCAGGTGTGGCGTCGCGGTTAAAATTAGCAAGACACAACTCTCTTCAACATGTGAGGACTAGAACTTTTCTCCAGAAAAAAAATGTTTTGTTTTTTATTTTTTTTATTAAAAGGGAAATTATATACATTTATTCTCCTATTAAAAAGGGGAAATTTATTATACTAAGATTATGAATTAAAATGTGTTTTATTCGTCTTTAAAAATAAAACTGTTTTTGGTCTCAATTATACAATATTTTGTTGGGAAAATATTCTTAATCGTTGTATCATGACTTAAGGATCGTTCCACGCCAAATCACCCAGTGAGTTTAACCAAGCAGATTTTGATTTTAATGACACATGCTGTACTAAATGATCATGGTGGCACGATACAAAATTTTCGGTAAATGCGAGCAGGGGTTTGAAATTTGCGTCAGAAAGGGTTGCAGTTACCTTCCTTTTAACCCTTCTATCTCTGGAACTATTGAGTCAATTATCACAAAACAGGTATTCCAATCATTTTGAAGAGTGGTACATATTTTAGTAACTTAACGTTATGACCTTGTAATTGACCTTTTGTATCACATGACCTTAACAAAATTTCCCTCAAATGTAATCACTCACATGCTGTCTTAAACATTTAAAAGATTCAGAGATGGGTTTTTTTTGGCATCAATAAGGAGTCAAAGTCAACTAGATTTAGGACCAAGCTCACCCGCGATTCGAATGAGACAAAGTGTTTTAGTAATTGGATGGATGATAAGTTAGGTCAAGTGAGGTAAAATCTCTGATGAGCACCAGAACACCCAGGCCACAATATTTAAAGGTACACCGTGTGGAGGGTCACTGATGGTGTAGTGACACACTCGCCAGGCTTGTGAGCGGGCAGTGTGGGATCAGTTCCCATTCAGTGATGCTGTGGGTGTGATTGGTCGTTTGTCTCTACATATGCCCTGCGACTGACTGCCGACCACTCAGTGTATTCTGCCTTTCGCCCAAAATCAGCTTGGATAGGCTCCAGCATCCTCCAGCAACTGTGTTCAGGGTAAGCGGTGTTGAAAATGGATGGGTGGACATTGTGTAGAATGTAGTGCCATCTAGCGGCGAAATATTAGAATGCTCGAAGAGCGTGTATTTTGAAGCACACGCACTGCTGTGCCGCGGAGAAACCACACTTTGCAAGCCTAGCACTAATATCTTCAGCAAAGGTGCAAGCAAAATGTCATGACAAACATCTTATCGTATTACCTCAAGAGATAGGGAGGAAGTGCATGCAATCTTTTACCCATCTGTCGTCATCATGTTGAGGAACTACAATCGCTAAATTTGTCTCCTTCGAGTGTTCGTAACAGAAAGATGGCGGTGAAACACAGCAGCTTGTTGTAGGGGAGGCGCACGCTATGTAACATAATTAGCGATTACTTCACATAAAATTACATTTAAAAAAGACATTGATGTGATTAAAATTAAGAATCAGATTTTGATCAGTGTCTGAAACACTGAAAACAACTTTTTACGCACTGGCCCTGTAAGTAAGTATACTGACTTGACGTATGCCAATAAAAATGATGGTCAAATTTGGAATAAAATTACATTTTTTCAACTAACAAGAGGAGGGTTAACAATTTTAAATACATACTTTATTGGTGGTTTTATTCTCATCTAGATTTTTATTTTATGCCTGTACAAGTATATTGTACACAAAATACATGACACAACATAACTTTTAGTGCCTGATTTAGTGGTCACAATGAATGTCTCACAAATTTGTTTGGTATCATGCCCATACTGTATATTTCACACTTGTGAAAACACTCCAATACTATGATACCCGATTCCCTAAACCAGGATGTCATCACATCATTTACCATTCCGCCCTACCTGAGCACACAGTTTGCAGTTTGACAGATCGTTCAACATTTATTCAGAGAGTCAACATAATTTATGCATTTAAGCTGTTTATTGACCCTCCCAGTTGAAGTTTACTGTAAAACTTACACAAAATAAAGAGAATTACACATTGAATGAAGAAACTATAATTTTCATAAAGTCATTATCATATATCAGTACTCTTGGTATTGGTGCATCCTTACTATGACAGTGAGTAATTGGGGCTAAGTGACTTGGCAGCTGCGTAATAAACTGTAATTAGTTCGTCCTTTGGAGGTTAAAATATGTCATAAAGAAATGGAAAGGGTCAGAAAAAATGTCAATCCATCCGTTCATTATCCAAGGAGCATCTGTGGATGTGGGAATTGAATTTCAAAGTGGGTGTGAAGGATTTAATCGGGGAGATTGTGTTATCATCATGTTTGGATAGAGGACAGCAAAATCATTTGATGCAGTACTGGGACATGTCGTGTCATGCATCTGATCTGACATTTTTCTCCTTACTGAGTGAACAATGTTTTAGGATAAAATCAAGGCATTCAGTATGCTGAAGGTGAGTAGTGATGAAGGTGTGGAGCCCTGGCTGTGGACTGACATCATTTTGTGCTTTGCGAACAGTTCATGCAGACATATACATCATGTAGCCTGAAAATAAGGTCTCATTAAAAAAAAAAAAAAAAAATCATATTGAAAATAACAAAACAGTGCTGCAGATGACAAGTTCCATGTGTCTTACTCTTCAAACCACTGAAATCTGATTGGCACAGATACACAGACTCCGGTGGAATGAAGGATAGAATACACGGATGGGTTCACAAATTGTGGAATTCCGGGAATTCAAAGAAAAAGAAAGGAAAAATAAACCAAGCATTCCACTTGCACCAGACCAGATACCTCGGCGAGCAGAAATGAGACCCGACCATAACAGCATGCTGTTTTACAACATAATGGTCAAAAAACAAAACCAAAAAAAAAAAAAAGCCACTGGATTTTTCTTTTTATACTTACCTGGCAGTGACATGCATCAAAATCAACAATTGTAATGAACAAGGAAACTGGGGGGAAAAAAAAAAGTAGCAACATTGTGGCCGCTTCGAGGATATCAGAGCGGCAGTAAATCCCAGCGGCCGTCTGTTTACCTGCGCCAGGTACGGGCTTTTTTGTCCCCCGTTCCCACCAATGACATGGCGGCATTGGCATCAAACTCCGCCCCTAACTTGACACCCACTTGTTCCGGCTATCAGTCCACACCCAAAGTGTTACTCTGGAACAAATCGTGTGTGTGTGTGTGTGTATGTGTGTGTGTGTGTGTGTGTGTGTGTGTGTGTGTGTGTGTGTGTGTGTATTTTGACATTTCATACTCAGAAGACCTGTATTTTGAAATTAGTTTTAGGGCCAAACTGAAAAGAAAATAGTACAATTAAGAAGCAATGATTGGAAGTTCATGCTAACAAGTTGTACTACGAGAAATACAGTAAAGAGGCGACTTGAGGCACAAGTTTTAGGAGATATGAGTGGAGCCATGTATGTATGGTGGCACGTGACTCAACACACAGTTAACAGATAGTAAACACTTCTTAAAGAAAATACTTCAGAATGCAAGAAACAAATGCACCAGGTGGCACATGCAGACAACGTAACAATACTCACAGGCATCTATTCTTTATCCTCTGTGAAAAATGACTAAAATTACTGCCGTACCGAGAAGCCAAGAGAGAAGCTGTGTCTCCAGTAAAATACGGTGCGCCCCCACTTTCTCCGGGGGAATAAGGACAGGGCCGTCCCATGAATATCGAAAAGTCATCGATAATTGATGGCCATTAAAGATGCATTGAAAAAAAATATTGAAAGATTTGATTGAAAAGGGAAAAAAAATTTTTTTGTTGATTTATCCATGCTTAAATAAGCATGGATAAATCAACAATAAGCATTTCCCACAAAAAAAAGCTTCCCCACCAATGAAAAAAAATCAATAAAATATAAAAAAAAGTATCCACAAATAAATTAATAAATAAGCAAATTGAATTCGCAGGAGCCGAAGCATGAGTATACTGGGGTCAACTATGTCTTATACTGCCCCCAGGTGGCCAAAGCGTGCAAAAGGTGGAAGGGAGACTACACCCTGAACTGGTCGCCAGCCAGTCGCAGGACACATATTGAGACAAAGACAAACGACCATTCACTCCCGCATTCACACCATCACTGAGTGAGATCCGATCCCATGCTGCCCGCACACAAGTCAGGCAAGTGTGACGCTACACTATCAGTGACTTTGTTGTTATTACTGAATGTTGAAACAAAATGGATTGTATTTTTGGAATGCTATTTCTCATTTAAAACATATCAACATCTTTGGGGGGTTTTATTGGGAGGTTCGAAAGGAATATTTGCATTTCCATTGATTTATCATTTATGCCCTCAATTTTTTCCCAATATGTTTTATATTGTCAAGCCATCATGTGTGCTCAGAAAATTGCAACTTTTACCTCAGTAGTAAACCTTGAAGTACAATTTTTGAAGGTGTGCACTCAATACTTCTCGAATTTATGCAAATGACAACAAGCATTTAAAATAACATCTTCACTTTCTGACTTTTCCACAACTTCATATAAAGCAACACGTGGATGATTTATTTATTTGTAACTAATTATTTCAAAGGAATTAAACTTTTCACGAGCATGCTAACTTTTAAATGAAACTCGGTGGCTGATTTGCAGTGAGGAATGTTTTTCAGCCACTTCCCTGTGCGCTTTGACTGTTGACACGATTGTCGTGTTGCGACTCGCCTGGAATGCACCCGGAGCTGTACAGCGCACACCGATCCAAGAAAACAGCAACTGGGAGGACATGTTGGGCCTTTTTGTCCTCATACACAATTTTTTTGCAGCAAGTAATGTTGGCATGCATGCTGAGCTTAGACTGTAACGCAACGCTTCTCTCGTTCTGCAAAAACAGCAAAAATGTGACATGAGGTGGAATGATATCGTCTTCTGGGTGGGGTCTTGTTAACGCTAATTTCAAGGTTTAAGTTAATTTTACCCGAAACAAATCGTGACGCTATTCTACTAAGACTCAAGTTCACTCTCATTAAATTAAAAGTAGATTCCCATGAAATTTTATGTATATATATATATATA